TTTCTTTTTTTTTCATGACCACGGACCAGACCCCTTATTTTTCCCCCAATTTTTCCCATAAACAAAAAACCCGCCCTTTTGCGGGCGCATTTTTACCTGGAATATAGTAAGTTGAAACCACATATTTTTTTTCTCCTTCTTATATTCTCAATTTTTGTTTCTCTTCTTCTTTCTTTTTGGTGTGCATATTAACTATTATTTGTCATATTACTTTTTTTCATATTTCTTTTTCAGTCTTTATTATTATTTGTATAATTATAAAAAATTATTTATGTAAAGAATTGTTTAATGTATCTATATAAATATATTCGGTTCTCTGGCTAAGTCGATGCGAACGCTTCCGTGCGCCTTGCGTTGGTTTCGACAGTGATATCAGAGGGCCGACCGTCCAGGAGGCAATTGCAAACTACTGGACTTAAATTTGCCTAGCAGAAACCACACAACAACCAGAGGGCTGCTGGGTTTGTTTCTGCAAACGTCCTGGAAAAGATACGCAACTAACTATATAAAAATATGCGGCGTCCATGGCTTAGGCCGTTACGAGTCCGACTCTCAATTTCCAAAGTACCCAGCGATCTAAACCCACTACTGGCTGCGTGGATTGTTATCATTGTACGGGGCCGTTGCTGGTCGGCCCAGTCTAAAGTGGGTACCAGGATGTGTGTCCTGGAGAAGTAAAGTCAGCCGGCGTAATGCTTACCACATTACCCACCTAGTGCTGATTGGTTAGTAAAAATATAGGTGCTCTTCCTATATGCCCGATGCGCCTAAGACGTGAAAAGGGATCTTTACTTATATAAAATATAAACACATCCTATGCTTCAGCTCCTCTTTCTACTCTTCTTTTTATTGTTCTCCTCCTCCTCTGTCTTCTGCTTATTGTTCTCCTCCTCCTCTGTCTTCTTCTTATTGTTCTCCTCCTCCTCTGTCTTCTGCTTATTGTTCTCCTCCTCCTTTGTCTTCTTCTTATTATAAATCATAATCATCATGTTCTTAGAGGCTGTTGTAATTTATGTGCACATCCTATAAAATAAAATAAAACTAAGTGAACATCCTATAGTGTATTGTACTGGTTTAATTACTGTAAACCATCTCAGACAAACTGAAACAAGTGCTACATATTGACCACATTGATTCCTCGTGTGGGTTCTGGGGTTCCATCCTGGAGAACAAAGAATAAACTCCCTAACAAGCATGTCGTAGAAGGCGACTAATTAAGGGTGTTTTCTTAAAAGTCCGTGTGCATCTGTCTGCGAAGCAAGGAACCAGCCGCCTGCATACACATTAGCTGTAAAAAGGATGTGCACGTGGAATCAAGTTCTGGATCAAGCCCGAAGTCCAAAAGTAGACAAACAACCAAAACTTTCCGTAGTTTATATTCGGTGAATGCGAAGAGGAAGAAATTGCGTCGATGTATAAGTTGTGTCTAGAAAGAGTGCGATGTTTGTAATTATGTCATTGTATTACCATGTGTGTCAACTGACTGAGAACACTTTTATGCCCGTTTCCCTGGTGCCATGACTTCAATTCTTTCAGCTTTTGATCGCAGATAAATATTTTGTCCTCAGTGTCGAATCAGGCGTTTACTTCAGCGGTGAACATGGTGGGACGCACCTGGACGCTCCTGTGCACTTTCAGCGAGGTAATAGGCCTCTCCTTCCTTACCGGAGCATCTATTTCGTTACTGTCCACACACTCTTACACATGCACGTGCACACACATACATATACCGGATACAGATACATCGATAACTCCTCCCTGTGGTACTCCTTGCCGAAGCAACACTTTTATGCTCTGCTGGTTTTCAAGTCTGACTTTAGTTCTCCTGCTGTGTAAGAAGGATTGGATCCATTTTAGCATGTTTCCTTGGATTCCATTTCTCTTCAGTTTTGCAATGAGACCATCTTTCCAGACTTTGTCAAAAGCTTGTTTGAAGTCACCCCATACCGCCAGGACCTTTTTCTTTTCTTGGAAGGCATCCTCTACAGCTTGTGACAGGTAGGTGACTTGGTCTTCTATGCTGTGACATTCCCTAAACCCAGCCTGCTCTGGCTCCAAGATCTGCTCAGATTCTAAGTGCCATTTCAGTCTTGAATTTGTTAATTCTTTCTAATGTCTTTCCTACACAGCTTGTGAGACTAATTGGGCGATAGTTAGAAGCCTGTGTCTTAATTTTTCCTTTTTTTTAAAAAGGGTATTATGATGGCTTCTCTCCATACTTGAGGCACCAAACCTTTCTCCCAGCTGATGTTGAAAATTTCCAGCAGCTTTACTTTGGGGGCAGTTGTCAAAACCGTACAGCTTAGGATGTTCATATTTCCCACCGACAGAAAATGTTTGTTTGTTTTAGTATCCAGAAGCCATGAGTTGTTAACCCTTAGGCTCGGTATTATGGATATGGCAACCTTTCGGCCTTCATTCCATTGTAAATACCGTAAATCTGGGAGAAAATGTGGCTTTTCTGCCTACCCCGGAAGTGAACCCGGACCACAAGGAATTCGTCACCCGCTCACCGCGCAATCCGGTTTAGCCAACTACGCTAGAGAGCCGAGCCACCGACAGAAAACAATTGTCACAACCACAGCCAGGACTCGACCCACGTCCCTCGCTTTGGAACCTAGCTTTCTTGCCACTTGACCAGCTGCTACAAACCTATTATTTTAATTGTTTGCCTTTTTAAATTGTTAACAGCTTTTATTTGCACCTGTTTGTTGTCCTTTAAAAATTAAATTAAATTGTGTTTTTGTTTTTAGCTGCGTCTGTTACTTTTTTTTAAAATTGTGATGTGCCTGCAGGGGGGCAGCAGCTGCAACAGATCCCGCTGGAGAATACAATAGCTGAAGGTGTTATGATTGACTGTTCGGCAGAAGCAGCAGAAGATCCCAGTTATTTAGTCCCACTTCAAAAGGTACAGACAGTATCAGTTTAAGAAGTCATTTGCAAAAATGTAAACCTGTTTCTTCTTCTTTGTTTAGTCTTCTAGGGTTTCAGGTGTCGACAGAGATATAAAGCAATGTTTCTTGCTCTTCTGGCTGCCTCGACCAGAGACACATTTTTGTAGAATTTCTCTGATGTTATCCATATACTTGTTCATGGTCTGCCTCCTGCTCTACATTCTTCTTCTCTTTTGAAGTATGCTTTGCGTAGTATGGCGTCACCTGGCATTCTCTCTGCCTAAGCAACCCATATTATTTGCAGTTTTGTTTATATCTCAGCATATTCCTTGCTGTGATAATAAATCCATTGCCTGCTTAAACAGCAATACTTTAATGAAAGCTTTTGATGAGGCCAAATGACCAAAAGACAATACCGAAAAATACAAATTGATGCTTATGGTAAACTCTCAAAACAAGGCCAAGTGACAAGGTTAAATTGTGAACCGGATACATTAGACTCAGTTATATTATAATAGCATGTTTCAGAAATGTTTTTAATCGAGGTTTAGCCCAAATTTCTCTCTCTCTCTCTCTCTCTCTCTCTCTCTCTCTCTCTCTCTCTCTCTCTCTCTCTCTTCCTCTCTCTCTCTTCTCTCCCTCTCTCTCTTCTCTCTTTCTCTCCTCTCCTTCCCTCGCTCTCTCCACTGAGTGGTTAGTTCATAACGTAACACAAAACTGTAAACTCTAGGCTAATGGATTTCCGAAACACGCGCACTCATGAACTAAACGTCGAACTTCGAAACGGAAACCATGACAATGACGGACGGAGGAATGGGACTCACAGCTCATGGCATCAGCCAGTCTGACTAGCAAGACCTGAAAACAATATAAAGTCTTTCACATGTACATACGATTTCAGGATCATTGTTGCCATTAACCACTTCACCAAAGACTTCTTCTTTTTGTGCGCCTATCACTGGATGCCAAAATAAGATAGGAATAAACTCACAGGGAGCAAGTACAGCAGGGATCTACCAGTCGTCAGTAGAAATTATCCTCGTCGACACTCGTTTCGGCCCATGATTCCTAGACGCATTCGGAGGTGGGCCCACCTGAGTTCATGAAGCTCAGGGCTGGTTCCCTGCTGCACGAGATTACCGGATGGTGTTTTACTTTCGGCCAGAGACAATACGACTTGGTGGTTTGCAGAAGGTACTGTGAGATAAGAAGTCGCCGCGGCAGCCTAATTAAAGCAGTCAGCGTGCCTGGACGACCGAGCGACAAGCTTACGATTGGTTTACCGGACATGTTGGACTTTTATTAGCAGGTGGCAGAGGATCACTGGCAGACGATTCGGACACGATGGACTTTCAAGGGGTGAGAAACCCTTTTCCACTAGACACCTGGACCAGCTCACCAAGGCCCGTCCCCTACGTTGTTGCGTTGCGTCCAAAGCCAGCTAGAGGCCCTTTCGGCTACCTCTCCCAGTTTTTTGAGTGTTCGTTTCCGTTCATTACCGCGCAATCCTAGTTCTTTAACCACATTGTGGAGCGCTGGAAACGAGGCCTCTCGCTCCCACTTCGACGGCAAAGACCCGTACTATGTACGCCTCGTTTCTCCTCAGACCGGCTGCTAAATCACTGTATTTCTCGAGCTTATACAAGTGATTCTCCTCCATACGCGACTCAAACGGGACGGTCAACTCAATCAGGATGAGCTGCCGTTTTTGCGCAGAGTGGAGAACTATGTCCGGTCGCAGGCCGGTCTTACGGATCAACTCGGGGTACCTTTCGTGGCCCGGCAGATCAACAGCCAGTAACCAGTCCCTCGCAGAGTCTAGCACAGATGGAGCGAATGCGTTTTGGTTGACCTTACCTTTTGGAACCTGCCCAGCCTTGAGGAAACGAATGGGGACGATACTAGAACTGGCTCTGGCGTTAGCCCTCATTCTAGCCTGGTCGACAACGGCTGCTAACTCTTTTAGCACCTTGTTGTGTCGCCAGGTATATCGGCCTTGACCTAGGGCTTTCCTGCACGCGGACAGGACGTGCTCAAGAGTTTGCTTCGATTTACACAACAGGCAAGACGGATCGTTGGTCGCAGACCATTTAACCATGTTAACACCGGACGGTAATACATCGTACGCGGAACGAACGATAAAGCTCAGTCGCAGCGGGGTCATCCGCCAGATCTCACCCCATGTGAGTACTCTTGGCAATGCACTCTCCAGGCTGACCCAATGGCCCTGCTGCGATTGCTGGGCTGCTTTCTGGACCCGAACCTCGTTTTCGTTGTCCCTCACCGTTTGTATTACCATGTCTCGGCGCTCTTTGGCTGAGGCCTTTGACCACCAATTGACCTTCCCGTGCCCTAGGCCTCGACGGTCGGTTTGAGTGTATCCCATTATCTCCTTCAATTTTAGTGCATTCTGGGCAGATTCTATCGCATCGAGGACCCTCCACTTCTGGCCAGTCTATAGAGCCGGCTGGACAGCGATGACATTTGGGTCTGAAGACTCGCGCAAGAGCATGGCGAGCCTTACCTTGCCGACTTTAAACTCTTCGGTTATCGATTTGAACGGAAGTACCAGCTTAGCCTGCTTGCAATACAGAGCCACGTCGGTCAGACAAGGCGGTGCACCAATCCACTTTCTCAAGGCTGTGTTGATTTTCTTCTCCATGGTTTCCACTGCAGTCATCGTCACCTCGGAGACTAACAATGGCCATAGGAGTTTCGGAATCAACATGAATTGGAGACACCATACCTTGAATTTCCCGATCAGCCTGCATCGCTCGATCGCGAGCAGGCCTGTAGCCAGTGACTCGTGTATTCGCCGGACTTGCGCTCTATCAGATAACTTCGAATCGTAAACGCGACCGAGACTCTTCACCGGTCCATCCAGAACCGTAGGGATCTTGTTCCTTGCCACCGTAAAACTGGTTGCCGACACCCTGCCCTTAAGGATTGACAGACTCCTCGACTTCTGCGGTTTGAACTGCATACCGCTCCATTGGACCACCGCGTCCAATCTTTTCAGGATCGTGCGGGCAGACTCCTCGCTGCCCGTTATTATAGTCGTGTCATCCATAAATGCGCGAAGTGGCGGCAACCAGTGATCCCCTATTTGAAGGCCCAGTCCGTAGCCGGACGCCCCGTCTAACATGATCTGCATTGCCATGACAAACAGTATGGGTGAGATCGTACAGCCCATAGCTATCCCAATCTGCAACTCAGTCCACCTCGTGGTAAACGTCGAGGTAGAGAAGCGCAAAGCGAACTTGGAGAAATATTGCTCGATCATTTGACTGATCTGTGCCGGTACGTGAAACATGCGAAGGGCTCGCCACAATAGCCTACAGGGGACTGCTCCGTAGGCGTTGGCTAAGTCCAACCATATTACGTGCAATTGTGTTCTCTCATGCTTGACTCTCTGGATAGCCTCCCAAATCATGGTCGCGTGTTCAAGGCACCCAGGAACGCCTGGAATACCACCCTTCTGAACACTCGTATCTATGTACTTGTTAGTCATCAGATACTGTGTGAGCCGGCGAGCCATGACCGAGAAGAATATCTTACCCTCGACATTCAACAGCGAGATGGGCCTGAATTGGGAAAGACTCTTCGAGTCCTGCTCTTTGGGAATGTAGACCCCATTTGCCTTTGACCACTCTGGACATATGTGATTACGGATCCACGCTTGTCTCAACAAGACGTGAAGCATTTTAAGGATTTCCGGGCAGCACTTGTAAAAAACGTACGGGACACCGTTCGGACCTGGGGCAGACTTGCCACTGACGTTTTTTCACAACTTCCTCAACCTCAGACCAAAGGGGAGGTATCATTTTAAATGGTACCTTCGGCACCGAAGGCTGTTTGAGGCCGCTAAGGATCTCTGGATTGTCATCGAGAGGCTCTCTCCTCTTGTTGCTCGAATAGACCTCGGGCAAACTGATACGGGTCCCTAAAGAATTTCTCTCGCTCCCTTTTGGTTCTACGTCTGTTGTTACAGAAACGCTCGGCGCGACAGAGGGCACTGTGTCTGTTCTTTAAATGCAACCAGACTTCATACAGCCCCTCCCGTTCGCTGCCTGTAGCGGCTTTGAACCGTTTTCTGAGGGCATTCTTGTCTGCCCGACACTTCAGAATGTCCATCTGCCTCCTGCTAGTATTCTGCTTTGCACCCGGCTGTGCCTTCTGCACTGTCCCGAACTCGCGGGAGCAGTGTTCATATATAACATCACCAAATTTCGTAAGCTTGTCGACTTCTTGTTTAGATCTTCCTTAAGTACCTCACATAATGTAGCCTCCAACTTACACCACACCACCTTCTCGCTCGCAGGTGGAAACCTGATTCTGGAACGCACTTCTTCAGAAATCATCAAACGTGCTCCTCCGCAGTCGACGTCATGGGCCTCTCCGGGCGAGTGGGGTTCACCCAGCCAGTCGTTCCCTGACGACTCAGAAACTACCACAGGAGTAGTAGTTTTGCGTGGAGCACCCTCGCATTTCATTCTTCCGGCATGCGTTCTCAGACCATGCAACCCCGTAAAGCTTTTCCCACATGTACAGAGCCAGCCCGGACGTTGGGCGAGTATCTGAGTCCGGGGGCTAGCATAGTCGTCACCGAGAGTATCAATTTGATTGGGCCCTTCATTCCCCCCCCCCCTTTTCGGAGGGCCCTGGGGGCATATTTCTATGTGGTTGTACGAAATCGGAGGTATTATACTGTGTTAGGGGTGATCAACCCGGTCCACAGTCGACATCTGTCTCCAGATGTCAGTTTATCCCCCCGGCGATACCGGGGGGCCAGTCTTTCCATAGGTGTCACACGGACTTTCCCGAGAGTCACCAGTCTTTCCTGGTAGTCTTGTGGGCTAGCCACGTACAATAGGAATAAACTCACAGGGAGCAAGTACAGCAGGGATCTACCAGTCGTCAGTAGAAATTATCCTCGTCGACACGCGTTTCGGCCCACGATTCCCAGACGCATTCGGAGGTGGGCCCACCTGAGTTCATGAAGCTTAGGGCTGGTTCCCTGCTGCACGAGATTACCGGATGGTGTTTTACTTTCGGCCAGAGACAATACGACTTGGTGGTTTGCAGAAGGTACTGTGAAATAAGATAGTAAAGCTAAGGTGCTGAAACTTCTTAAGATGTCTGTAATTGCATAAATGAAATGTTTAAAATAAAAAAAAATTTAAAAATTTAAAAATTTTTTAATGGCCTTCTATATCGGTATGTATATTGTAATTACACTGTTAAACATCTTCCGGAATAAAAAGACTACTTACTTATCAGCATGCCCCAATTTAGTTATATCAGTTCTGCACATTTATTTAAAAAAACAAAACAAATAGAAAGCACATGTCTCAATATACGTTACAGCAGTATAAAATAGCATATAATAAGTCAAGAATACCACGGCTCAGTGGGAACGGCGTGGTCTAGCAGCAGGTCGTTTGTTCGGTTTCTGAAAGGGGCTAGACTTTTTAAAAATATGACTTTGGTTCCCATGTTGACCGGGCCTTGAGTGAGTACCAGGTGCAGTCCTGGGAAGCAAAAGCGGTCGGCATAATGCTGACCACATCCCCCACCAAGTACCGTGTGGTCTATAAAAAATAGGTCCAGCCCTATGTACCCAATACGAATGAAAGGCGTGGAAAAGGGTCCTTTACTTTACTTTACAGCTCATTGCTTCATATAATACAGTGATAAACTCTACCTACAACTATATGTTCGATGTGGCCAGTAGAGCAAGTCCAAGAACAGGGGCTGGCACACTTATATCAGTTGGAGAGGAAGCACACTTATATAAGTTGGAGAGGAAGCACACTTATATCAGTTGGAGAGGAAGCACGCTTATATAAGTTGGAGAGACAGCACACTTATATTTGTTGGAGAGGAAGCACACTTATATCAGTTGGAGAGGAAGCACACGTATATCAGTTGGAGAGGAAGCAAACTTATATCAGTTGGAGAGGCAGCACACTTATATCAGTTGGAGAGGAAGCACACTTATATCAGTTGGAGAAGCAGCACACTTATATTTGTTGGAGAGGAAGCACACTTATATTAGTTGGAGAGGAAGCACACGTATATCAGTCGGAGAGGAAGCACACGTATATCAGTTGGAGAGGAAGCACACTTATATCAGTTGGAGAAGCAGCACACTTATATTTGTTGGAGAGGAAGCACACTTATATTAGTTGGAGAGGAAGCACACGTATATCAGTTGGAGAGGAAGCACACTTATATCAGTTGGAGAGGAAGAACACGTATATCAGTTGGAGAGGAAGCACACTTATATCAGTTGGAGAGGAAGCACACTTATATCAGTTGGAGAGGAAGCACACTTATATCAGTTGGAGAGGAAGCACACTTATATCAGTTGGAGAGGAAGCACACTTATATCAGTTGGAGAGGCAGCACACTTATATCAGTTGGAGAGGAAGCACACTTATATCAGTTGGAGAGGAAGCACACTTATATCAGTTGGAGAGGAAGCACACTTATATCAGTTGGAGAGGAAGTGAAGAATAAGAACCACAATCCACGTACTGTCACGGCAGTTGGAAATAACAGTTATGTGCACGCAGCATTTTGAGATTGATTAATAAGTGCATCTACAAAAGCGGAGAAGTTCCCTGGACTAAACACATCTACGTTAGAAGACAAACAACTGCATCGATATATTATTACCGCCGATATATTTAATATTGTACCTATACATATATATACACACACACACACACATTTGTATATATATATATATATATATATATATATATATATATATATATATATATATGCACACATACATACACATACACACACATACATACACATGCACACACATGAACACACACATACACACTCATACACACTCATAGACACACATTCACACATACACACATATACATACACATTCACACATATATATATACACACACATACAAACATACATATATTCACACATACAGGACACTGTTTTGACAACTGTTGTCTTTTTTACTTCAAAAAGCCCTATACGTTTGTTGTCCTATCCCACGTCTAGCTACTGGAATGGGAGAATGCTCACGGGCAGATCCCCATGCAAGCTGCAGTCCTTTTTAACTTCGGCTGGTCCGCGAGATTTGACAGTCCTGCCGCCTATCTCGGAACTGAGATTGATCATCATTCGTGAGTTAAACTGAGAAATCCTTTATATCTTTCCTACCTAATTTTGCTTAAGCGTGCAGACTATTTTCGCATACTGGTTGGTTTGAAATCCTCTAGAAGAAATAAGGTTAACTCCTAAATCCTTTAACCTTCATGCTGTCTCTCTGAAAATTCCTGGCATATAACAAAGTTAGGACAAAGTAAAGACCCTTTTCCTGACTGTAAAGCGATTTACCACCTCATGAGAACTATTTTAAGAGTACCCCTTCAAAGCGGATGCAGTTATAAGCATATGTTCCCGTGAATCTCGACCTGTCTGAGAATACGACAGGCTGCTGTTACTTTCCAGGTCATTTACCCATAAGGTCTTTTCTGGATGGGACGTCCTGGTGTCAATGGTGTGGGACAGGCCAGTATGGGCGCATGTTGGCTTGCTTCTTATGGCATAAGATAGTGTTTAGAGATACGTGTCTATTGTGGTAGTGCATTTATAATGTCCATAGAAGGGAAATGGTTCCATGAAAGAAATGTGCCATTACACGGGTCTGCCTTTGCGTAGTCACATTTTGTCTTCCTGGTCCTGGAAAGCCTATGGTGAGGCTACTTACCCGAAAACCAAATTGTTGCAATCGATAGATTGTTAATCAGGAACCGCGAAGGGTCCGCCCAACAGTTGATATTCTTGTACAGACAGTAAGGTAGCCTTTGATTTGATTTCTTTCTGATTCTGTTGAGACGTGGCGCATTGCTAACACAGCAGTTAACTCGAATCTAATGATGACGAAGAAAATTTAATCTTTGAAACCAGTGAAAATATATTCATTTCTGGTTTTTTTTTTTTTTTTTAGGTCAGATAAAAAAAAAAAAAAGAGCATTTAGAGTGATTTAACAGCATGAATTTGTTCTTCGAACCAGAAAAAAAAGGTGGTCCATGGTTTACTAACTGTAGGGAAGACAGATGAAAATTCCATTTAAGTGAATGTAGTTATTTTCAAAATAAACGCTTTTTAAACTCTCTGTTAAATTTCTTTTTCATGTGAAAGTTTATTTAAAATCATGATTTTTGAATGAACATTTTAGTATAAGGGAAAAACAACAACTCTGGTTTTTGTTTGGAAAATGGAAGTAACTTAACCCAATGACCATTTTTTTTTTTTTTATGGGGAGGTTGAGCCAGTGGCGTTAGCAAGGGCAGATAGACAATTTTATGTCAGACGCCTTCCCCCCCCCCCCCTTTTACCCCAACATACACAAATAAATTTATACCTATTTTAACAACACACTCGCATATTTTTGCCATTTTGTTTTTTTCACCTTCCTCAGCGATGATACTCACTCCTTCCCCTCCCATTCACCCCCACTGGGTTGAGCACCCCCCCCCCCCCCCAACCCCGAAATATGCTGGGGCGGGGGAGGCTCAATGTGCTTAATTATCCAGATTCTGAAGTTCTTGGCATTGACCATAATAATTACAAGAACTACCGGTCCCCCCTCCCACCCCACCCGCACCCCAACCCCACCCCCACCCCCCAAATACTTTTCTTCTTTCTAGTAAAATGCATAGAAAAGCAGTTGGATTATATAATTTACGAAAAGCCCTGTGGCATTGCCCGAATTTAAAAGTAATTATTTTACCTGTGGTGCTGGAATTGTTGACATTGACAATGTTGAAAGCTGATATGTCCAAATCTGTTTACAATGAAATACTTGAAAGCTGATGTGTAAGAATCTGTTCACAGTAAATACTTGAAAGCTGATGTGTAAGAATCTGTTCACAATGAACTACTTGAACGCTGATGTGTCCGAATCTGTTTACAATCAAATACTCGAAAGCTGATACGTTAGACTGTGTTCACGAGGAAATAATTGAAAGCCGGTGTATTAGAATGTGTTCACAATGAAATACTAGAAGGCCGATGTGTTTGAATCTGCCTGCAATGAAATACTAGAAAGCCGATGTGTTGGAATCTGCCCGCATTGAAATAAATTAACGTATGTTGTTGGAAACTTTGGCAATAAAATACCTATCATCTGCTGTGTTGGAATCTGTTGACAAAAAAATATCCAGAATTCGTGGAACAGATCTTTAAAACGTTGACGTAACCCCTCAATTCGTATATAGGCAATAACTGTGGTATAGCGGCTAGACGCTCGCTTGTGGGTCGGAAGGTCGATGGTTCGGGTCCTAACGGTACCGACGTTTTTTTCCCCTTAAAAAATGATCTTGGCTCCCAGGACGACTAGCCTTTAATGAGTACCAGGTGGAGTCATGGAAAGTAAGGGCGGCAGGCGTTATGCTGACCACATCACCTACCGAGTGCCGACTTGCCTATAAAATAAATATTTAGCACTGTATGCCCAATAAGCCTGAATGCGTGAAAAGGATCCTTTACTTTACTTATTATATTTATAAGTACTAAATCATGATTTGCGTACATCCTGCTGTGACTATTCATGTATGGAGATGCGATTAACTGATCACATGGAAATGTCTAACATATATACTTTCATTCCGCAGTAACTACGTGTTTCCAGCCCTGGGTGCTGAAGCAGGAATTTGGCTCTACGAAAACCGCGACATCAAGATCATTGGAACGGACACCTTATCGCCAGATCCCTTTGCCATCAAAGGAGTTAGTGTAACCTCCTTTCCAGTTCACCAGAAATATCTCCCCAACAACCGCCTGATCATTGAGAATCTCAAGGGCACGGAACAGTTACCACCTAAAGGGTTTCGGTTCCACGCCTCGCCGGTGAAGTATGTTGGAGGAACGGGGACGCAAGTTCGGGCTTTCGCGATGACCTATGACACAAGCATGAATTCTGGGACACCAAAATGTCACAGGGATCTCAGCTGTTTCATCTCAATATTGTTCCTTTCTAGCGCGTTCATTGTTCGTGTCGTGTTGTAGACATCTAATTCATTCACTCATTCATTTGCCTGTGGTGCCACTATATGTTACAAAGGGCTCGCAGTCTGTTCCTCCATTCCGTTCTACCCTGTCCAGTCAGTTCGACGACATGGATGGAACCCAATCCAGCACGTCCGACTTCTCTCACCAGCAATTCCTTCAGGGTTTCTCTTAGACGTTCTGATTTCCTCAAACCCCCTGTTTTCCCATTTCAGTGCCTGTTTGGTGATTCTCTTATCGTCTTTACTCAGAATGTATCCAGTAAATCCTCATCTTCTGTCTTGTAACTGTAGATACAAGCAGAGTTCTAATTATATAAGTCTAAATTATATGTCATTATTTTGTTGAGAAACAGTGAACATTTGCAGTGGTAGAAACTTTCCTTGTGTTAATGTGCTTAAGTTTGTATTGTGTTTATTGTTCACTGTGTTCTGTGATGTAACATACTGCTGAAGATGGTTGTCACTATCAGTAGCCAATTATAAGTAGTACATGACAGAACCAAACAAAATATTAGGGTGAGAACCTTTCACTACATTGCTGATTAACCAATTTTACAAAAACATTTCTGTTTATTTTTGAACTAATCCTTTCTCATGCAGATACCAAACTCCAACCTTCATAGTGAAGACGGCACCCGATTGATGGCATAAAGATGTGATGATTTAGGGACAGTGATGATGATGATGATTACAATGTTTGAAGATGATAATAATCGTTGACTGACTGACCCTCTACCCCACCAGGACATCACACAAGCGATAAACACCCGATGACACAAAGTGCCACCATGCGGATGAGGATCACCGTGGAGAGGTCCCAGAAACCGCGTTCAGACATTTGGCCATATTGATGGCCTGCCTATATTGCGGCCCCTGGCAAAAGCCAGAGTGGGGCTTCAAATAACAAAAAATTACGTCCTAAAAAGGACGTAAGGATATATGTATATAATAATCGTTGCAGATTATATGTTTTTATATGTTCCATGATGTACCACTTGGCAGTGGGTTTGCAACAATGATTTAACACTTTTATATCACACAACTGGTAAAGGAAAAACCGCTATTATTATCAGCTAATTTTATTCAGAAATAAAACAGTTGAAACAACTAAATAATTTACATTTACTGAGTTTAGTTTACAAGTAGTAGGAGAAGAAGAAGGGAGAGGAAGAAGAAGAAGAAGAAGAAAAAGAAGAAGAAGAAGAAAAAGAAGAAGAAGAAGAAGAAGAAGAAGAAGAAGAAGAAGAAGAAGAAGAAGAAGAAGAAGAAGAAGAAGAAGAAGAAGAAGAAGAAAAGAAGAAGAAGAAGAAGCCCTTTCATTTAATGGTTATCAAATCCCTTATGGTCATATCTACTTCTTCTTCTTCGCGTTCACCAGCTGTAAACTCTGGCGGAAGGTTCTGGTTGCTCGTCCACTACTGAACTGCAGTCCTGCTCCAGAACCTGAGTGTTGCGTGTGCATCAGTTTTACAGATCTCATTCTCTTGAATACAGACTGTTGGTTCCTTGCCTCTCCGGCAGATGCACTCCGACTTCAAAGGAAGCTCCCCAATTAGTCGACTCTTACGACATGCTTTTGGGGAGGCAGTGGGTCTATTCTTGTTTTCCCCACAATGGGGCCCCGGAACCCACACGGGGGCCTTATGGTCATATATTTAACTTGTAGTTGTATTATGCTTCTTCATGGGCTTGAACAGATGTTTGTATGAGCTGTTGTTTAAATTGTGTACCTCATCATTTCAGAAGACGTACTGACTCTTGTATTTTCTTGCTAGTGCTTTGGGCGCCTAGGCGTAACAGTCTTAGAGTGTGTTTGGTTTTAAACATTGACAGTTTTCTCAGTTGTAGTGTGTAAACAATCTTCTGACACTTGACTTGGACCACTTGCCCACGACGATCCCCATTTTGAACATTATTTTGGCCCGCGAGTAAACTTAGTTTAATAGTTCTGGGGTAGTTTCAAAAATTAAAAAGGGGAATTAACCATGCTTACCACTATAAACGGAAATGTTTGAGAAGTTGGGTTTCTTGCTTCAGTGCTGGCTCAATAAATATGTTGTGAATTTTCTAGTCTAATAAAGACAGGAATTAAACTAAACACAGCCGTCCTGATATGGTACTCAATAGTTTGAACTTTTAAAGCCCCCTACCCCTGCTGCTGTCAGGAACCCGTATTTAACCTAACTTAAGAACGGGGTTTCTGAAATGGGACTTGCGCCCGGGTGCTTTTCATCCGAATGGTGGCACTTTGTGTCACTTGGTGTTTATCGCTCGATGTGCGGTTCTCGGGGGGTTGATTTGATTTCATTTATTTAGGTTACAATTGGCTGTTGTTGAGGTTACAGTGCCCTAAATATTACTTCTTTGGAGGCTGAACGAGGTATCTGAGATCTACCTTGTTGGTCTGCCGTACAGATGTGCTATATTCGAATCCCAAGATGGAATGGTAAACCTTTAGCTATCGGCCTGGAGGGGACAAACTGATCGATCGATCATCATCATCATCAATTCTCTTTATGCCTAGTAGCACATGAGACTACAGAGATGACTTTCCATGCTTTCCTGTCCTGTGCAATTTTCAGTGCCGTTTTCACTGTCATAGATGCCGCATTCAGTTCACTTTCCATCCTTCGTCTCCATGTTGTTTTTTAAGCGCCCTCTGGTGTCCATGTGAGAGCTGTTTTTGCAGGTATATCAGGCTTCACTCTCAAAAAGTGGCTAATCTATTTCCATGTCCTCTTGGTCTAGAGTTTTTTGGTTTGTGACGAAGTAGTTTAGTGTTTGAGAAGGTTTCTGGCCAGAAAAAGTAAATAATTCTAGGTAGAAATGTGTGGTGGAAGATGATTAGCTTATGTGCATCCTTTTTGGTCACTCTCCAGCATTCTGCTCCACAAAGAAGAAATAGCAAAATGATGCTCTTGTTGAATCGAAATTTCGTCCCTCTGCAGTAACTGTTGGATTTCCAGATTAGTCTAATCCTTTCAAAAGCAGCTGTAGCTTTGGTCAGGTGTGATTGTATTTCTTCCTATGTCCCTCCCAGTAGGGACACAACACTGCCAAGATATGTAAACTGTTCTACATTCTCAAGTGTTATGTTATGTTGGTTTGGACTGTTTGTCATGATCTTAGTTTTTCTTGTATTTATTCTCAGTCCCGCCATTTCTGTTGTGCTGTGTAGGCTAGTACTTTTCTCTTGTATATGTTTATGTTTATGTTCATCAAATCGATCGATTCCAAGTAAAATAAGGTCTCATATCTCTACAACATAGAAAAGAGTTTCAACCTTTGCTACGTTATAAAGAAGTAGAACAGTGCGGTAACCTCGGTAAATAGAAAAGCATACACGCATGCAATTGTTTAATTTCATCATCGTGTAACAAGTATTTTTGCAGAGCGTCGCTCTTATCAGGGGCATCGCAACCGGGGGACTTAGACTTCTTGAGTAATCCCGCTCCTTCTGCTCCGCCATAAAATGTGTTATTGGACTATTAACTCCCCTAACCATGTTAAGAAGTTCTCTCTTTGAGTATTTGTTTCGCTATTTATTATTATAGGAAATATATTTGTATTTGACATTCCATAATTACTTTTATTACTAGTTTTTTTTATTGCACGTAAACTAGGCCTAGCCCATTATGCTCACCCCCTGAAAAAGTTTTAAGGCTGCTTAGCGCCATCCTCCCCCCTTCCCATTCTCCATCCCCCCACCCCTTTTTTCATATTTTGTCTTGGCTGTCAATGTAGAAATATTCTAGATAGCCTGTCAGAAACTCGCTGTCTTCTACTGTCATGGCCAGGTTGTCCCTAGTTCCCCTTATTCATTTTGATGTTGTCTGACCAGTGCGCTCGCTCTCTGTGATGAACCAAGTCTTCTTCTAATGTCCTGTTATCCGTTTTGGTTTTATTATGACCAAAGACCTTCGCGTATCAAGTCATGATGGTGTTTACTAATTCCTTTATTCGCTGTCCTGAAGTGTCATTATTTATTACACTGTTCCGCTCTATCCTGTACAATCACTGTGATATCAGGATAGGAATCCAGTCCAACACCCTTGGCTTCTCTTATCAACGTTCGCCCTATGGTTTCTCCTGAACGTTCTAGCTTCTTCAGTCCCTCTATTTCCCATTTCAGTGCCTGATTAGTGATTCTCTGTTCGTCTCTTCTCAGTGCAATATAAGGCCATATTCTCTGTCTTATAATTGTTGATACTGGCCATTGCCCAGACATTAATCTTATTTCTTTACGCCGCCTGAATTCATCATAAGTTATGTTCACGATTTTCCTCAGTTCTTTGTTTTCGAATGTATTTGACATTCGTTCCATACAGGCCATGCTAAGTTAGCTACTTTTATGTGAGATGCAGATAAACCCACTTGTCAGATGTGGTTCATTTTCAGACGCGTCAGTTATCTAAATATGAAACGCTTTTCGACACCTCTTTCTTCTGTCTTGTCTTGAATCCCTCCTTGAGCACATGCTTAAACGAGTGCGCTCCTAAACTTTCTTTATTGTCTGCTGTCACTTTTCTTTTCTCGTCTGCATTCACACCATTGTTAAGTCTCTTGCGACATTCTCGTAACTTGTTTTTATGTAAAATGCTAACGCGAAAAAATGCTTCTGTTTGGCTTATGTGTTAGTGAGCGCGTTATCCAATCCTCGATTAAACCATGTTTCAATTCTCGTGGTGGACAGAAGGAAAGACAGAAACCCAAAGTTGTTGGATAATGGTACCAAAGTCACACAATGGAAGAAATTGGAGCCTTACCTTATGATACTCCCAAAGATGCAAATTCTACATCCGCTACTGTCGATCTCATGTGTGCGAGAGCCCCAAAAAAGTGAAATAACCAAGCTATTCAAAGTATAATTTATTTTTTCTTTAAAATTTAATTTCAAAAGTCAAAATTACTGAAATTAGTGAAACTTATCTAATTAAAGCAAGAAAGGAAAAAAAAGTTGATTATAAGTTCACAATGATTATGGAAAGTAAGTAAACA